AGGAAAGAGAGAACATCTAGTAAACTCAAGATATCCAGCTCCATTTGAAAAGTCCTCCAGAGTCCTGCAGAAGATCTGATCAAACCTCTCAAAGACAGTGAAATCAAGACATCTGGCCATAGATGACGCACAAGCGATCCAAAAGTTCAATACCCACACTCCAGGTATTCAAAAGAAATACATTCAACCTCTATCTCTATCATGGCTACCAAAGAAAAGCAGTCCCACCAATAATAATTCTCCTGTTACCTTTCTTGTTCAATCTTCCTGTCTATTTCTGTAATTTTTACCTTTGTTTTTGTATTGCTATTTGCACCACCGTGTTTTCTATCCAAACTTCTTGTCTATTTTGTTATTTAATAATTCCCATTGTAGCATTAAGAACACAATATTCAGCGAAGAGACTCTTTTCAACGAATTTATTATCAAGCTGTACAATCGTATACATAGATGGTGTTTTTATAAAAATTATATCCGGTGAGGGAATTAGGTCAAAGGTGTGAATACATGAAATAATAATAGTATGAAATGCAATTAAAATATTTGTGATTATAATCATAGTTTAATGTCAAGTGGCAAAATAATTAATGTCGTATATAGAATAATACATAAGGTGTATAGAATTTTGGAAAGGGGTACATAATTATAAGATTAGTAGACGAATATAAAATGTTACGTAACATGGTGTGAAATTTGATAAGACAGAATTCAATATTGTAAAAATAAAAATATAAAAATCAATAATTTTGGGTTTAAAATGTCAAGTGGGTGAAGTGAAAAAGATTCAGAGTGAGAATAGTAATAATAATAATAATAGTAGTAATAAGGGAAAAGTATATAGAATAACTAAATAAAATAAATGAATGTCTATCCCTCTACGACCAAGGCAGAAGTAGGGATTGTACATACTTCTTTTGTACACAAAGGTCTGGCTTAAAGTCATGAATTGCCAAGGCCTCAGCTGTCTTTAGAAGTCTGTAACGAAGAAAACGTGGGAAGTTAGCATTGATTCTATATATGATCTTAAAATCATGGTCAGGGTTGACAGAATGACAGAAGTCGATCAGGTGTTCCAAAATAGAGCTTCGCACACACTTCCTTTCTCCCTTGTAAAACCATGCTGGAATATGTTCTCGTATCCATGTGGAAAGCGTCGTCTGACTACGGCCAATGTACCTTGCTCCACAAGAGCAGGTGAACTGATAGATGCACATGGAGGCGGCCAGATGGGGGAGCTTATCTTTTATAGAGGTAGAGAACAACTTGCGGCTAGTGAACGTCATATGTAATTTTGCTGCATAGAACGTCTTACTGACTGATTTAGAGAGACGATTTTTGAGCATATCTGAGGCTTGATCACCTTTGAATTCCAAGTTCATGAATAAGGTTTTCTTTGGAACTATGTCGGTGACCAGTTTAGACTGCTTATCTCTCATGTTGCTGTCAATAAATCGGTTAGGGTAACCGTTTTCTGCGAGGGTGGCTTTTAAGAAGTCAAGTTCCGAGTCAACAGTATCAGAACTACAAATTTTCCTTATCCTAGAGCAGAGCGAATAAATTAAGTTCCTTTTCCTGGAAATAGGCACCCAACTGTAAAAATTAGTTAGTTGTCCGTTCCAAGTACGTTTCCGGTGGATAGATCATTACGTCTGCTGAGGCACACATCAAGAAAGGGAATACTTAGTTCGGACTCCTTTTCTATGGTGAATTGTAAAGAAGGATGGCAGTTGTTGAAAGCAAACAAGACATCATCAAGAATTACATTTCTATCGCAGATAACCAAAGTGTCATCTACGTATCTTTTATAAATGTCAAAATGACCGATGGTTTGACTAAGATGAGAATTTTCAAGCTTTGTTATTTCTACATTTCTAATCCATAACTGGACAAAAAGAAGTCAATTTTCCCAATAATTCTAATCCTATTTTATGTTATTCTTCTATCTTCCTGTTTATTATGTCATTGTTACGTTTTAATGTCTATTTGTAATCTTGTTGCTTAACTGCTGACCGGAAATAGTTGTGAAAATAGTTCACCCATCTATAATAATAAATACACTAATGTACAGCTGTGTTCTTGAGTTTGTGTCTGTATGAAAAAAATTTACTTCACTGGAATGTCTCCTACGACCTGATGAGTATATTCTGAGATAGCTATCCAGGTATTTAGTTCTTTTCACAGTTATACCAAAGATTTATATAGCTGGAAACTGGTTTTTCTCACCTAAGATTAATGTAGGTAGTTGTTTTCCAAATTCTATGCACTATATACACTGGCATCCATTACTGTCGTAAACATTTGTGGTGAGAGCTAGCTGCAGGCCAAAAATTATAAACAGCAATTTACGTCAATGATACGTCCCGAATCGGAGTCATGAGAAAAACAATGACAAAGCTTAACCTTGAGGAACTCACCAATCAATCACAGCAGACTTAACGTGTGCAAATATGATTCGCAGAGATGTGGCTTAACTTTCTAAGAAACGGTCAGAAGAAGTACGGAATAACCTTCAGCAAAAGACAACCAATCAGAAGACGTTGCTTCTCCACTGGCACTAATGCAAATAAAAATCTATTAATATCTCTTGATTTTCTCAATAAATGATCTGTTGCCTGCCCTTTGTCTTCTGTCGTTACACATTAACTGATGTCATGGTTTTAGTCTTTCTTCCGGTTTCAGACTGAATTTTATCAGGCGAGTTTGCAGTGTGATGGCCTGATACCATGGTGCACTCTGAAAAGTTGTTATCAGTTGACTGGAGGCGATCGGTAGGAAGCCTTTTACCTAGCTCTCATGCTGGCTGGCACTCACCAGTCAGTTAGGCGCATCTGCAACCTTGAAGGAACTCATATTCCTTCTGAGATTCAAACCCGAGTCAGTCTACACCAATGCAAAGGATCAGAAGGACGGAACTGGTTACTAACTAGTGACCGATCAGAGAACCCATCACAGTCTTATAGGAGGTCAATCGTGAGCACGAATAGCTCAATGATTGGAGCACTTGGTGACCTGTGTTCAAATCTTATACGACGTATGACTTCCTTTAGGATTGCAGAAACAACTTGCTAACGAGTGCCAATAAGCGCAAAACCCAGGCCGAAGACTTCCTGTCGAAGGCCTCCAACAATGTAAGAGTTTACTTAACGAATAATATTAATAAAATATGAACAGTTTCAAGTCTGACTATGGACTAATATCAGCTAGAGAAACACTGAAAACCAGCAAGGAGTACCGGAAAGCTATTTTGTCCTAGTTTGAGACTCGTCATCAGCACGCAGACCAATGGAGTTCGAACCCAGAACTTTCTGATTACAAGCAAAGCTGAATGGTCTATGGTTTTCAACTTCTACCCATTCGCCATTTAATTGCGATCACGAATCATTATCTTCAGTGGGTATTTCTCCTCTCTCCTGACCGGCTGGTCAGGATTTTCGATGGTTGTCTGATATCACTCCGTGGACAAACTTCAAACGAATCAAATCCCTACAAACTAACTTGCTAATTCTTGAAAAGATGAAAAGGAAACTGTTGGTTTGATTGGTGGCTTTTATGGAAGTAGTTTTAAAATACGTGTTCAACTTCCGATCAGCTTTAGTTGAATCATTATTATTATTTTTACGAGTTTGACGACAGATTGATATCAGTTAGAGAACCATTGGAAAACCACCAGGGATTACTGGGCAGCTGTTTCTTCAGCCTAGTTTGGGAATCATGGACAGTACCCACCTACCCCAACTGGGTTTGAACCCACGACCTTCTGGTTACAAGGCCAGCTAGCTTGTAGACCAAAAAGCCGCTGGGACCCGATCCAGTGGCTAGCCCATAATTTCGGACTTCTTCCAATTCAAGACATAGCGCGATCACTTCTCAATGTCTTCTTCGATGAGTTATGGCCTCACCTCCAACTTGCTGTAGTCTACTGGTCATGACTTTCCAATAGAAGCCAGGTAACTAACTATCTACCTGGAAAGGGCCAGTCACTAGTGAGCATCAGATTAACTGATTTTCCAGTATTGGGTTTTGTGCGAATTTTGTTTGATTGGTTGAAGGGTTTCATCATGAGTTGACATCAGTCAGCCAAACATCAGAAATCCAGCTGGGAGTACTGGACAGCTGTGTCATCATAGTTTGGGACACCTAATCAGTACGCACCCACCACCATGGCTCGAACGCACAACTGTCTGGTTACAAGACAACCTCATAAACAATTAGGCCACTGGGACCAGATTCAGTGACCAGCCCATGAATTGTAACTTCTACAAATTCTTGAATTAGTGCGACTGGCACCAACCAATGTCATTGGCGAGACATTCACCCTCACACAGTTGACTGGATGAGTCTCACTGGTCACGACTTCTCACTAGAACTCCAGGAAACTCCGTTCCGCAGCAAATCACTAGCGAGCATCAGATTAATTTCCAAGAATTTGGTTTGTAAGGATTAGATTTGCGTATACGAGTATGACCAGGGATTGATATCAGTTAGAGAACCATTGAAAACGAACAGGGAATACTGGCAAGGTGAGCTTGCCATGTAACCGGAAGGTCCTGGGTTTGAATCCCAGTGGGTGCATACTGCCAATGATTCCTAAAACTATGGTGAAACAGCTGTCCAGTGCTGCAGTACTGGTTTTCAGTGGTTCTCTAACTGATATCAGTCCATGGTCAAATCCGTAAAAACAAATCTAATCCTTACAAACCAACTCTTGAAAATTATTATTGTTATGATCATGATCACTGGAGTGGAAGACTTGTTTGTTTCTTGCCTAACGTGAACGAAATTACGTTAACAATGATCAACAATGCAAAAAGAAAACCGAATTATTTACAGGATATGCATTCAGTCCAGCCATTTTATTGTTTATTTCATATATTGACATTTTTCTTGTAAATGTCAAACAGACCAATCGCAAACATCCTTACTTCTGATTGGTTGTTTAATCGATATATATATATATATATATATATATACATATATATATATATGATTACATAGAAGTATATTAACCTTACTTGTGTATAACCTCAATAATGTAGACAAAATACAATGTTCAATGGAAGCACATTCATGGGTGCACCACACGTTCAATGTTCAATCTATTTTACTAATTTTCGGAAGTAGTTATAAAGTATTAGTCAATCAATTTGAAGTGATAAAACGAAACAAAACAATAAGGGAAATCAACAAAATTATTACTTTTTGTAATTTACAAAACACTTTTCATCATAATGGTTAAACATAGTCATGAAGGAAGATAAAATGCCTGATACTTCTAATGAAAAATTAATTCATGACAGAGAATGTTTAGATGCTATACAATGGAATGTAGATAGACATCATGGTTGGTATACTGGTAAGTTGAAATGTATTCTGCTTTGAATTGGACGCTTTGGAAACCATTTTTATTCTTTAATGTGTGGCAAGATGAGGATATTAATTGCTTTAAGGCGTTCCCAGTGGAATATAGGGCTTTGACAGCAATGAATACCCGGTACACTTGGTTCGCTGCTGTCACTTTCAACTGACACTACAACTACCCACAAGCTTTCGTTTTCTCTTAACTTTATCCTAACCACGTCACTCTAAGAAGGACAACTCAACGCTTCTCATTCGAGTTCCATTTGAAACACTAGTGTATAATGTCGGCATATGTTCAACAAATCACCATTTTCTTTTGTATACGTATTGCGTAATAGATTGTTGGCTGGTTCACTGCACTGTTAAAACCCCTTGGTGCCTATTCTTACCGGCCCACCATATAATCTTCAATGTCGGCCCAGCGAAGTGGGAAGCTGCTGATGCGAATCTGCAATAGTCCGTTGGAAACGCTTTTATTGACACGCTCACAAAGTCTTCAAAAAGCCTACTGAAGCAGTGATCAGACTGATAAGACAATAAACAGAGATATGAGGTAAAAGGAATAGTAATATATTGAAGAACAATGGAATTTTATTGGATACAATGAATGACAAAGAGTGAATGCGTCTGCGCCAGCCATTGAGAAGGATTTGGAGTCATATTACCAATTGTCTCCAGCCTTCATTGGTTTTTACCATCCCGAGGAACCCAACCAGTCAGGAAGTCTGATTGGCTTACACTAACTGTTGTGGATTTCATTGACTGATGAGGCCATGTTTTAGTTTGACCACCATGTGCTATCTCTTTTCCAGACTGATCAATCCTATGTCAGTTAACATTGCTCATCAATCGAGGAAGGCGATCGATGGCTAGACATGCGTAGCATGCGTCCTAATCACCTCAATCGATGCAGCTGCTTCACAACCTCGTCTATTGATTTCCCCTCCTTACCTAGTACTCGACCGATGCCTAACCTCAATATTGCTCACCCACTTGACACGTAAGATAGAACGCAGACACATATGATGAAAGGCAGCTAGTCGGCATTTTCATGTCTTCCACTTTCAATGACCATGTCTCACAGAAGTGATTGAACATTTCCGTTGAATCAACCAAAGGGAAAATTAAAACATCGACTTAAAACTTATGATAACTGATGCTAGTTGCCATAAGAGGCGGATGTAGTGGATAACACTTCAGCATGTGAAACGATGGGTAAGAAGTCTGAATCTCAATGAGAACATGATCATTCACTGGGGAATGCTGGTACACCATGTCGACGAGTTTCGAATAGGATGAAATGTACATCCTCGAATCTACTGCTAGTCACCATAAACCAAAATAAATTCTAATTTTATAAAAGACAAAATAATCGAGCAAAGAATATTCTTTCTAATAAATTCCTCTTCTGGCTCTACAATTACATATATCTATATATGTTTATATACATGGAATATTCTAGATTAGTAGTCAATAACAATATGAGTGTTTTTTAAATACTATCGACTTGTTAAGTAAGATCAATGGAATTACGGTTCATTAAAAATGTTTAAATTATTATAATAATAATAAAGGTATAGTAGCAAATAGAATATCAACTAAAATTAGGGAAATTTACACAAAAAATTGAGGATTATTCAAACCTGGATGGCAAAAGTAATGATAATGACTGAACTAACTTCTTTTGGACGCACAAATTAAGCTTGTTAATATGGATCCCAACAGCCAGCCTCAGCAGTATTTAGTAGTCGAACTCTTAAGGCGGAATTGAGATTCGTAGGTATGCGGCAAATGACCCTGAAAGCATGATTAACATCAATCTTGTGTTCTGTACCCACAAGATGAGTGCGATAGAATAGCGCTGCGAATAGATTTTGTTTGTCCTTTACTTAACCACTATGCAGGATGATGTTTGGAAATTCGACGAGAAACACGCCTAATTGTACGGCCTATGCAACTAACTGGCTCCACAGGAGCAGTTGAATTAGTAGATACACATGGAAGAGGCGAAATTAGGCAGTTTGTCTTTCACTTCCGAACGTAAAAGAGGAGTGGTTTTGAAAGCATCAGTCAAACTCAGTACCATTGTTTTTCTTCCTTAATACTCAAGAAGTGAATAGATGTTCTCTATCCTTTTATTGTTTTTCAACCAGCTCTCTTAATTTTTATACAAATGAAATACACCAAATCGCAAGGAAAAGCAGTTAGTGTTTAGTCAATAAATTGTAGCCAATCTAATCTATAATCTGGTTTTAAGACATTAGCTTCCCTGACAATTTGCTATAACTACACAAAATCAATGATAACGCATGACGATGAAGAACAGAATACTGAAGGCACTATAGAAAAACATTTCCAATAGTTTCATATAACTTAGTGAAATAAGAGATATACCATAGCTAAAGTTGTTGGCATCATTAACTACGAAAGTTAACTGCTCCTGTGGAGCCAGTTGGTTGCATAGGCCGTACAATTAGGCGTGTTTCTCGTCGAATTTCCAAACATCATCCTGCATAGTGGTTAAGTAAAGGACAAACAAAATCTATTCGCAGCGCTATTGTATCGCACTCATCTTGTGGGTACAGAACACAAGACTGATGTTAACCGTGCTTTCAGGGTCATTTACCGTATACCTAGGAATCTCAATTTCGCCTTAAGAGTTCGACTACTAAATATTGCTGAGGCTGGCTGTTGGGATCCATATTAACAAGCCTAATTTGTGCGTCCAAAAGAAGTTAGTTCAGTCATTATCATTACTTTCGCCATCCAGGTTTGAATAATCCTCAATTTTTTTGTGTAAATTTCCCTAATTTTAGTTGATATTCTATTTGCTATTATATCTTTATTATTATTAATATAATTTAAGCATCTTTAATGAACTGTAATTGCATTTATTTTACTTTGCAAATAGATATTATTTAAAAAAGCGCTAATATTGTTATTGACTACTAATCTAGAATATTCCATGTATATAAACATACATAGATATATGTAATTGTAGAGCCAGAAGAGGAATTTATCAGAAAGAATATTCTTTGCTCGATTATTTTTGTTTTAATGATGCTTTTCGTTTGTACATTCCTTTCATGTGCTTAATATTCCCTGAAAATTTGAGTTATATAACTTCCTGGCATGGGCCGCTGACAAAATTTGTCAGTAGTATATAAAGAGACATTCGTCGGCAGAAAGACAGCAAATAGCAGGGAGATAGATTTGATTTTCATAAAGAGCAAATGAACCAGTATTTATGTTCGCCTTATATGAAATCCGTCATTTTGCAGAGATCTTTCGTGTTGTCCTACTTCTGCACTTCCTTCGTATTGTGTTCCTTTGTCTTCTTTTCGTGTCCTGTGTGTTTTGTCACCATGCTGGTTCATTTTCTCTCTTTGACGTTGAATCTATCTCTCTCCTATTGGTTGTTTATGTGCCTATGAACGTCTCTTTATATACTACTGATAATTCCTGTCAATAGTACATGCCACAGTGTAGGTTGAAAAGGTGTAAAGTACAAATTAGATGAGAATACATTAGTCAGGATGTTTAGGGGTCATAGTCAGTGTAGTTGAAAACTACAGTGGAGACTACTCATGAGTGAAATAATTTGTATATGAAATGAATATTTTAGGGATAATGGAAATAGGCAAATGGTTGAACGCATTCACAGTGTGTCAATTGAAACACCAAAAGAACTTGACTAGCTAAGGTAGTAATGAAAGCACAATTTAAGAAAATACGTGATCAACTCGTAAAAACATAACTAACCCTTACAAACCAAACTGTAGAAAATTAACCTGATGCTCCCCAGCGACTTGCTACAGGATGGAGCTTCCTGGAGTTCTAGTGAGAAGTTGTGACCAGTGAAGTCCATCCAGATGTCACGTGTGAGGATGGATGTCCCACCAACGGCATTGGTTGATGCCAGTCACGCTCAATCACGAATTGGTAGAAGTTAGAATTCATGAGCTGGTCAATGGATTGGGTCCCAGTGGCTGAATGGTATACGAGCCAGCTTGCCTTATAATCGGAAAGTCCTGGGTTCGAATTCCAATGGGTGCGTACTCCCGATGATTCCCGAACTAGGATGAAACAGCTATCCAGTATTCCAGTACTGTTTTTGAATGGTTCTCTAACTGATATCAATCCATAATCAACTCATAAAAACATAACTAACCCTTACAAACCAAACTATAGAAAATACAGCAGAGTTTGTGAAACATTGTTTCAAATAGGATGAATGATGAGGGAATGATACGACATCTAAAGACTATAACTTCAATTATTAGATTACTAAAAACGTGGAAGCAGTGAATAGTTATTTTGTTCTGTTTCGAGACTCTTCAACAGTACGACCCTACGACCCCGGTAGGGACCAAATTCAGTACCCTTAGGGTATACGAAACCAAGCTCGGTGGCAATTCAGCCACATGGGCTGGAAGGCAACAGTAAAGAATAGGCACCACAGTCAAATGACCTTGAGCCAGCCAATCACATCGCTCAGTACTACAAATGGATGCTTTTCATAATTCTTCGTTTCAAGTTTCACACTAATTTTATTCATAGACATACCTTAAGCCTACTCGAATCGTAACCCTGAATCAGGATCAAACTAGCAATGAAAATTTTGAAAAGTATCAATTTGTAATACTGAGCAATCTGATTGGTCGGTCCAAGGTCGTTTGACTGTGGTGTCTATTCTTTACTTTTGCCTGCTGAACTTCAATGATCTCCGAACTCTAACTATAAAATTAGGTTTATAAGACTAGTGTAAAACTGACAGGTGTTTCTTTCATTTAGAGTATATATTGTATGACCTTAGTCTATCAACTTTAGTCTCTTTGAGTTTCAAATAAAAGTAGATTTATTCTCAATAGTTGGTTTGTAAGGGTCAGTTTTGTTTTTTATTTTACGAGTTGATCACGGATTGTTATCAGTAAGTGAACCATTGAAAACCAGCCACAGGGAGTACTGGACAGCTGTTTCATCCTAGTTTGGGAA